GCTCAAGTTCACCACCTCCGACTCCTGCGACCGCATCAAGGACGAGTTCCAGCTGCTGCAGGCTCAGTACCACAGGTGAGCCGGGGCCGGGGCTCCCCTCCACACAAGGCCTTGCAAAAGATCCGGACCCCAGGTGCATCTTCTGGAAGGAGGCAAAAAGGTAGACAGAGTGGAGGGCCGGGCGCCGGCACTCACACCTGTAATCTCAGCCGCCAGGAGGCAGGGATCCCCAGGCTGGAGGCCAGCCCTGGGCAAAAACCTGGAGAGACCCCCTCATCTCACGCAGCAAAGGAGCGGCAGCTCATACTGAAAAGGGGCCCGTAGGTCGGAGGGTCACCAGCAGGCCACCTTGCAAAAAAAGGCAAGATGTTACACAAATAGCGCAAGGGCCAGGCCCCCCAAAGTGACAGCCCCTGCTTCCCTGTTTGCCCCGTGTGGGGGGAAGGGTTGCCTGGTATCCCACAGACCCTCCGGGTGCGGGAAGGAAAATTGTCCCTGATCCCCAAGAGGTTAGGGAATTCCTGTGGATGCACAGCAGGACCCGACCAGAGCCTGGCCCCCTAGAGGGTCGTCCCTCCCATTTCGGAATGCAAGTCCAGAGTGTGGGGGAAGGGAGTTTCCCCCAAGGAGAAAGGGCATCCACATCCTATGGGGGTGTTTTTCAAGTACTAAGAATGTACTTTGGTCTCCTAACACTTCCTTTGGGGGATTTACTTGTTTTATCACTTGTTTTGTTCAGGGGACTTGAACTCAGGGCCTTAGCTGGCCCTGAACTTTTTTTTATGTATGTTCAAGGCTGGCGCTCTACCACTGAGCCACCGTGGTAGAAAGCAGTAGCCACTTCTTGGCTCTTTGGTGGTTTGTTGGAGATCAGTCTCACAGGGCCTTTCTGCCCGGGCTGGCTTTGAACCACAATCCTCAGATCTCAGCCTCCTGAGTAGCTGGGATGACAGGCGTGAGCCACCTGCTGCCTGGCTCTTTTTTTTTTTTTTTATACTATTTTAAAGATGAAGAAACTCAAGAGACTGATAAATGAGGCCCCTGATTTCCACCCCTGCTGTGGAAGCTTCTAGGCTTTGTCCTGGCAGGCCCCTGGCTCCTTGCCCACTTCCTGCTAAGCCCCATGGTTGTCCTGTTCTGACTTCACTGACCACACGCTGCTGTGTGACCTCCGGGAACAAATCACCTCTCTGATCTCTGAGCCTTGGCATCTCTCCCTTTGGGAGCTTCCCACTGAGTGAGAAAAGGGGGTCCCAAAGATTCAGGGGAACACAAGGGAGGCCTAGACAGGGCCGGGGCAGCCAGGGTATTGTTAAAGTAAGACCAGAATTCCACAACATGGAAGTGAACTTGTCTTTTTTGTTGTTGCCCTTCCCAGTCCTAGTAGTGAAACTTGGTACACAGGCATGCACACACACACACACACTCTTACAAACTCAGTAAGCACTCACGGGTGAGGGTTTTTGTTGTTGTTGTTTGGTTTTTTTGGAGGAGATATGTTAGTCCTGGGTCTTGAACTCAGGTCCTGGGCACTGTCTCTGAGCTTTTATGCTCAAGGCAAGTGCCTACTACTTGAGCCACAGCATCACTTCCGGCTCTCCTGCTTGGCTGGCTTTGAACTGAGATCCTCAGATCTCAGTCTTCTGAGTAGCTGGGATGACAGGTGGGAGCCACTGGTGCCTGGCTTCAAAACCAAAACCAAAATGAATGATAGTAGATGGAAAAAATTACCCCAACTCTAGCTCCCTGCCCTGTGGAGAGTGAATGGACAGGCTTCTGAGGTGTGGAGTCGCACAGAGAAGTGGAGAGGATCTGGTGAGGGACACACAGCCCAGAAAGAGCAGGCTGGAGCTTTGAACCCTGGAGAGGGCAGGGTCATTGGGTTTCCTGCAGTTAGTGAAGGAAAATAGTTATGGAAGAGTCCCGGGTGTGTGGGGGGGTGCCTCTCCCCAGTTTTAAACTCCTCCACCAGATAAATCAAGTCTCCCCTTTCCGAAACCCAGTGGAGCCAGGTTAGGGAGGCCAGCCCAGAGGTGAACTTCACAGACCCGAGCTGCTGTTTCTATTTGTGTCTGAGCACTGAGGTTGTTTCCGGGCTGTGTGACCTTGAGTCACCTGCTTGCCCTCTCTGAATGTCTATTGCGTCACCAGGGAATGAGCACGTGAGCCTTCTCTCTCTGCTGACGTCCTTGGCGGTTGGGAGAGCGCCTGTACTGCCTACCAGAACTTTTTTTTTTTTTTGGTCCAGTCGTGGGGCCTGAACTCTGGGCCTGGGTGCTGTCCCTCAGCTCTTCAGCTCAAGGCGAGCACTCTACCACTTGAGCCACAGCACCACTTCCGGTTTTTTTTTTTTCTTTTTGCTTATGTGGTGCTGAGGAATTGAACCCAGGGCCTCATGCATGCAAGGCAAGCACTCTACCACTGAGCCACCTTCCCAGCCCTACCAGAACTTCTCTTAACTAATTTTCTTGCTTTCTCCAAATGATCTCCAAGCGTGTGGGCTTTTCTTCTTTTCTTTTTTCTTTTGTCAGTTGGGGGGCTTGAATTCAGGGCCTGGGCGCTGTCCCTGAGCTTTTGATCAAGGTTGAACTCTGCCACTTTAAGCCACAGTATCACTTCTGGCTTTTTGCTGATTAATTTGAGATAAGAGTCTCATAAACTTTCCTGCCTGGGCTGGCTTTGAACCATGATCCTCAGATCTCAGCCTCCTGAGTAGCCAGGATGACAGGCGGGAGCCCCCGGCGCCTGGCTGGGGTTCTTTATCATCATCATCATCATCAGTTTCATACCCCATAATACAGTGAGGAAACCTGCCCAGTTACATGGTGTTTGCTCCCATTAATGTGGCTCGTTCTGTGCCAGGTCTCACACCTATAATCTCAGCTACTCAGGAGGCTGAGCTCTGAGGATCTCAGTTCAAAGCCAAGCCTAAGCAGGACAGTCCTTGACTTAGCGCCAATGAACCAGTGCAAAGCCAGAAGTGGAGCCGTTGGCTCAAGTGGTCAAATGCCAGCCTTAAGTGAAAAGGCTAAATGAGCGTAGGAGACCTTGAGTCCAAGCCCCAGTACTGGCACAAAAAGGAAGGGAGGGGCAAAAAGTCACGCTGGAGGCATGGCTCAGGTGGTAGAGCACCATTCATGAGCAAGGATTAACCCAGCAAGTGCAAGGGGCCCTGAGTTCAAACCTCCATACCACAAACTCAAGATACATCTTGCGACTATCTTGGCTCCCTAAGGCGGGGGGGGGCGGGGGAGGGATGGCTTGTGGGGAGCGGGGGAACCCCCAACCTGCTGGCTGATCTGTGTCTTCCCCTCGGCCTTCCCCAGCCTGAAGCTAGAATGTGACAAGCTGGCCAGCGAGAAGTCGGAGATGCAGCGACACTATGTCATGGTGAGACCCCGGGGGGGTCTGGGGGGGACGCCAAAGGTGGGGACCCCCGGCCACCACCGCCACCTTGCCCAGCTGCACACCCAGGCGGTGGTGGTTGAGGTACCAGGAAGTGGGGGGGAGGGAGCCGTGGGCTACATCTGGTCCTGAGTGCAGCACATGCCTGCGTGCCAGGCCACGCTGGGCCTCCCTTGGGCCTCCTCCAGCCCCAGGGTCTGGCCTCTGTGTTTTTGTTGATGTCAGTCAATGGGGCTTGGACTCTGGGCCTGGGCACCGCCCCTGAGCTCCTTCTCTCAAGGCGAGCACTCCACCACTCTGAGCCAGTGTCACTTCCGGTTTTCTGGTGGTTCACTGGAGTTGAGAGTCTCATGGGCTTTCCCGGCTGGCTTTAAACCAGTGATCCTCAGATCTCAGCCTCCTGAGTAGCTAGGCTGACAGGTGTGGGCCACCCAGCTGGACGCTGTGTTCTGACCACCTGTTTGCAATCCTGCAAACAATCCTCCATCCCTAGACCTGCGCTCTCTCCCCTCACCCCTGCCAGCAGTCTGCTCCTGACCCACCCAGCCCGTAGCAATGGGCCTGGAGCCCCAGAAGGGATCTTGGACTCTGGGATGAGGGGGGTACTGTCTTAAGGTTTTGTTAGGCACCCAGCTGAGGTTTTGAAGTTTGAGTAGGAGCCTGCTTGGATGGAGCCTGAAGAAACCACCTACAAAGAGCTGGGAAGGAAGGTGATGTCTCTCCCAGGGGTCCTGAGGAGCCAGGAAAGGCTTCTGAGCAAGACTGGAGGGGGCCGGCCCAGAGCTGGGGCTGGGTCTTGACTCTGGTCTTGAGCCCAGTGGAGTGGGCGAAGCAGCAACACAGGACAGGGGTAGCAGATGAGGAGCCGCAGCCCCATTTCTACCCCATATCAGACTGCCAGGGAGTCTCCCCCCTCACCCCATTTCTGTCTCCCCAACACAGTACTACGAGATGTCCTATGGCTTGAACATCGAGATGCACAAACAGGTGAGCCTTGTTCCCGGTCCCTCCTTTTCCTGCCCCTCTCCCCAGGCATGGGGGACCCCTATAGCCAACTGTCAGCCCCCTCAGTTGGTCCCAGCCCCGCGCTGTTCTTCTATCTGGTGCAGTGCTGCTGGAGCGGGGATGCTCGTCTCCGCCCTCCCCGTGCGGGGCTGCAGGGCTGCACCACCACACTGGCGCCCAGGCCTCCTCCCCCAGGCTTCTTGTGCTGGGAGGGGGTCTCCCTGCGGGGGAGGGGAGGCCTTCCCCGGACTCCCGGCCTAGTCCCTGCCTTTGTTTCCGGTCGTGGGGGGAGGGGAGGATGGTAGAAGTGTGGCCCTGTGCTGACCCCAGAAAGCCCTCCTTTGCCCTGTGGCCTTGAGTCTGCCCTCCGCCCTGGCCAGGCCGTGCGGGCCGGATAGTGATGCTCTTGACCCCCCTCTCTGTTCCGCACGCGACTCCCGTGCCTCTGTGTTCCAGGCCGAGATCGTGAAGCGGCTGAACGGGATCTGCGCCCAGGTCCTGCCTTACCTGTCTCAGGAGGTGAGCGAGCCTCCCTGGGGAGAGCGAGCGAGCTTCCCGGCAGCCGAGGCAGTAACGGGAGGTGGGAGCCAGCCACCTCCCGGGAACGAAGCTGTTCGGGGAGGACTGTGCCAGGAGTCCATCTCGTGAGCGTGGGTGGGCGCCCCTGCCCGCCGGGCGGGTGTGGGGGCGCCCCACAGGGTCCCCTTTCTTTTCTTCCCCTTTTTTCTGCACATCAGCACCAGCAGCAGGTTCTGGGAGCCATCGAGAGGGCCAAGCAGGTCACCGCGCCGGAGC